TTACATCTTACAAACACAAGAGTGATCTGCTGCCTCAGTTAAATGTATCTAATTGGGAAACAGTAATTTTAGCCATAAAAGTAGCTTGTATGAAAAGGTTGATTGCTCTATCTACAGTTTGCCTATTTAGGAAATTTCATAAAGTTACTAAATTCAGATCATGCAACTTCCTCTAATGCTTGACAGAGTCTTCAGGAAAATATTCTTTACCTGTAGGTAGCTGGTCCAATTTAAGGAAATGCTGTTAGGTCAGTGTTTGGTGTATTTTTTTTTTCTGTTCAGAGATCTGAAAATCTCATTGCTTAAGTCATATAAATACCATCATATTGAAATACTATATAAAATAAATAGAGTTCTCTTTGTATATAAACACCAGCATATCTGCTTTCCTATAAGACTTGAAGAGACAGTGACATTTAAATATGTTTGTCTGCCTTCTTTTAATAGCTTGACAAATATGTCAGAAAGAGTGAACTGAAGTCCCCTTCAACAACACTGTGGCTGTTTGAATTATGGTCTTTACAATGTTTACTTGACCTTCTGGTGCAAAGATTGTCTCATGGTGATTACTGCCTTATTTAGTTCTGAGGAGCTAAGTCTGATTATTAAATAAAACTGAGCAGTGGATAATGATGGAAGGATGTAAATATTTTCCCATCCATTCTTACAAATATTTATTATTATGAAGTTTACTGTCTGTATCCAGGACACTTGATTATTGTTTTTGTGATTTCATTTTGTGGTTGTCTTTGTTTTCTTGAAGATTTAAAAGTTACATATTTCATGTAGTTCGGTGTAGATCATGCAGTTTTCATGTATATCATCTAGTTCTAATGCCCCTACCACGGGCAGGGACAACTTCCACTAGATCATGTTGCTCAGTGCCATGTCCAACCTGGCCTTGAAGGCTTCCAGGGATGGGCTGTCTACAACTTCTCTGGGCAACCTGTTCCAGTATCTCACCACCCTCACAGTAAATAATTTCTTCCTAATGTCTAATCTAAACCTACTCTCTTTCAGTTTGATGCCATTCCCCCTTGTCTTATCACTACATGATCTTGTATAAAAGTCCCTCCTCAGCTTTCTTGTGGGCTTCTTTAGGTACTGGAAGGCTGCTAAGAAGGTCTCCCGGGGGCCTTCTCTTCTCCAGGCTGAATAACCCCAACTCTCAGTCTGTCTTCATAGGAAAGGTGCTCCAACCCTCTGATCATCTTCATGGCCCTCCTCTGGACCTTCCTCAACAGGTCCACTCCTTTCTTCTGCCAGGGATCCTAGAGCTGAATGCAGTACTCCCAAGTACGGTCTCACAAGGGCAGTGTAGAGGGGGCAAAATCACCTCTCTTGACCTGCTGGCCACCCTTCTTGTGATGTAGCCCAGGATGCAGTTGGCTTTCTGGGCTGCAAGCACACCTTTCCAGCTTGTGTTGAGCTTTTCATCAACCAAAATCCCAAAGTCCTTCTTCACAGGGCTGCTCTCAATCTATTCTTTGCTCAACCTGTGTTTGTGCTTGGGGTTGCCCTGACCTGCATGCAGGACCTTGCACTTGGCTTTGTTAAACTTCAAGAGGTTTGCATGGGCCCAACTCTCAAGTCTGTCAGGGTTCCCTCTGGACAGCATCCCTTCCCTCCAGCGTGTGACTGCACCACACAGCTTGGTGTCATCAGCAAACTTGCTGAGGATGCATTCAATCCTACTGTCCATGTTGCCAACAACGATGTTAAACAGTGCAGGTTCCAATCTCAATCCCTGAGGAATGCCACTCATTAGTGGTCTCCACTTAGACATTGATCTGTTGACCACAGCTCTCTGAGTGGTCCATCCAGCCATTTTCTTATCTACTGAATGGTCCATCTCTCATATCTGTGTCTTTTCAATTTAGAGACAATGATGTTGTGCAGCACAGAGTCAAATGTTTTTCATGAGTTCAGGTAGATGACGTTGGTTGCTCTTCCCTTTTCCACTAACACTGTAAGCCTGTCATAGAAGGCTCCCAGATTTGTCAGGTATGACTTCCCCTTAGTAGAGCCGTGTTGGCTGTCATCAGTCACCTCCTCATTTTCCATGTGCCTTAGCATGGTTTCCAGGAGGATCTGCTCCATGATCTTCCCAGGCACCGAGGTGAGGCTCATTGACCTGTAGTTCCCCAGGTCTTCCTGTTTTACCTTTTTTTAAAATGGAGGTTCTGTTTTCCCTTTTCCAGTCAGTGAGAACTTCACTGGACTGCCACAATTTCTCAAATATGGTAGATAGTGGCTTAGCAATTTCCTTCAGGACCCACGGATGCATCTCATCAGGTCCCATGGACTTGTGCACCTTCAGGTTCCTTAAGTGGTCTTGAATCTGATCTACAGTGGGCTGTTCTTAATTCTCCCAGTCCCTGTCTTTGCATTCTGCAACTCAAGCAGTGTGGCTGGAGCACTTGCTGGTGAAGACTGAGGCAGAAATGTTGTTGAGTACCTCAGCCTTCTCCATATCCTGGGTAACCAGATCTCTTGTTTCTTTCTGGAGAGAGTCCACATTCTCCTTAGTCTTCCTTTTATCACTGACATACGTATAGAAGCTTTCCTTGTTGTCCTTGCCATTCCTGGACAGATTTAATTCTATGAGGGCTTTAGCTTTCCTAACTTGATCCCTGGCTACTTGGACAATTCCTGTGTGTTCCTCCCAGGCTACCTGTCCCTGCTTCCACCCTCTGTGGACTTCCTTCCTGTGTTTAAGTTTGTCCAGGAGCTCCTTGTTTATCCACACAGGCCTCCTGGTGCTTTTGCCTGAATTCCTCTTTGTCAGGATGCAATACTTTTGAGCTTGGTGGAGGTGATCCCTGAATATTAACCAGCTTTCTTGGGCCCTTTTTCCTTCAGGGCTTTATCCCATGGTATTCTACCAAGCAGATCCATTAAAAGACCAAAGTCTGCTCTCCTGGAGGCCAGGGTAGTAAGCTTGCTGTGCTCTCTCCTCAGTGTCCTGGGGATCTTGTACTCCACTGTTCCATGGCCACTACACTGACGAGCAGTTGGTGAGAACAAGGTCCAACATAGCACTTCTCCTTGTTGGCTTCTCTATCACTAGGTACTGTGAAGAAAGTTAACTCTACCCCAGCCCAAACCAGCACACACCTTCCTCAGAGGTTCACTGCATGAATTACTGACCCATCATGTCTTCCAGGATTCCTAGCCCACCATAAGAAACTGATGAATTTCAGGAGAGATGGTTGTCTATAAGATACATTTTTCAGTAAAATTTTGGAATGTCATTTCCTGAAATCTACTTTCTATTGCTTGAAGACAGAAAGGTTGATTCACACTATAGATTTCATGTTGAACTGAATTCCAATTTCATGTATCTATAAACATCCGGGCAAGTTCCACTAGTATCCGTGAAACCTTGCAGTGGGATGGTGGTATAAAAGAATATGCATGAGACATTCATGACTCCATTCTCATGGACTAACTAGCCTACTTGCGAGAAAAAGAAAAAAACCTTTTGGAAAGGCAAGAATTTTCCCAATAAAATGAGGCAAAAAGGATTAGCAGAATTAGCACACAAGTGTGCGGTACTCTGTTTAGTGTTAAAATTCTATTACTTCAATCTGTGCTTCTGCAATACTAAGGGGAAACCTTCCTCTTACAAAATATGCTGTTTGATAGCAGGCAGAAGATTTTAGTGTGAAGGACAGCATCCTCTCTTGTGTTTGGTTGTGCATGTCTCACCTCCAATATAACAAAATCAGTATGGAAGATATTTTGGGCTCTGAGTAGAACATTCAGAAAACACCACTTGCTTAATCCTACAGTAGGTTTCAGGTTAGTGCTACTAGTGTATGCTTCAAATCTATTGCTCTTTTTGTTTCTTGATCCCTTTTATTCTTTTCTGATGGACTGGTCCCACATGCTCCAGGGACAACTGTCAAAGAATCCATTAGTATATCTACCTATAAAGATTATGCTTCAAGCTCACACATTGCAAAGAAATTATTAAAAAATAATTAAGAACCTGAACCATAGCTTTTAATTCCGGCAGGAAAGAATGACATAATCACAGAATATTGGAGGCTGGAAAGGATGCCTGAACATAATTTACTGCAACAGTGGTTCACAGAAGGGTCAACTAGAGTGGGTTCCTGAGAGCCATGTCCACATGGGTTTTGTGCATCTCCAAGAATGGAGACTCCACAGTCTTTCTGGGTAAATTTTGCCAGTATTTCACCACTTTCAGAG